CAGATCATATATTTCGAATTCCTTGCTGAGATCACCTTTGAAGTCTTCGATCTCACTTTTGCAGCTACCTGTTATCAATAAATCATCAACATAAAGACATAGTATAAGCAATTCACTATTGCTTCTTCTTACATATACTCCATGTTCAGTTGTGCACTTCACAAATTCCTTCTCCCTTAGGAAACTATCAATTTTCTTATTCAAGCTCTTGAAGCTTGTTTCAATCCATACAAGGATTTATGCAGCCTGTACACCTTTTTCTCTTCGTCATGTTTCACAAATCCACCCGGTTGTTTAACGTAAACTTCTTCATCTAAGGATCCATTCAGGAATGCACACTTCACGTCCATCTGACATATGTTCCATTTGTTTATTTCTGCTAGACCAACAAACAACCTGATTGTTTTGATCCTAGCAATAGGTGCAAAAACTTCATCAATGTCTATTCCTTCTTTCTGTAAAAATCCTTTCGCTACAAGCCTTGCTTTGTGTCGAGTTACTTCCCCTTTGGAAATCATTTTCACTTTGTATACCCACTTGACATCAATTGCCTTCTTGCCTTGAGGCAATTCGACAAGTGACCAAGTGTTGTTGTCTTCGATAGACTTCACTTATTCGTTTATTTCTTTCACCCACTTTGAATCCTTCAATGCTTCAGATGCATTGACAGGTTCGACATCTTCATAGAAAGCATAATGTACCAACTTACCTTTATTATCTATCACATCATCTGATGTAATCACACAATCTTATAATCTTGCAGGAATGCATCTTGTTCTTTGAGGTCTGTTTGTACTTGGTTGATCTATAACTGCTGGTTCCTCTTGTCGAACTTCTCTTTCAACTTGATTTTTTGGTTCTTCAAGTAGGATTCCCACTTAATCTTTCTTGACATTTTCAGTCCAATCCTATTCTTTAAGCTCATCTATGATCACGTCCATGCTGATCACAATCTGCTTGTTCACTGGGTCGAACAACTTGTAACCTCCTGCCGAATGATATCCAACTGGAATCATTTGACTCGACTTGTCATAAAGTTTTCTTCTCAACTAATCTGGCACATGTCTATGTGTAATAGATCCAAACACGTTCAGATGACTCAAGCTAGGCTTCACACCAGACTAACATTCTTCTAGAGTAATTCCTTCTAGCTTCTTCGTAGGACATCTGTTTAAAATGTATGTTGCAGTCGACACTGCTTCATCCTAAAACTCTTTAGGTAAATTCTGGCCTTTCAACATACTTCTCACCATATTCATGATGGTCCGATTCTTCCTTTCTGCAGTTCCATTATGCTGTGGAGTATAGGGTGGCACCATCTCATGCACAATCCCTTCCTTTTCACATAACCTGTCGAAGTCTTTCGACACATACTCTCCACCACCATCAGTTCTCAAAACTTTGATTTTTTGACCACTTTGTCTTTCGACCATAGATTTAAACTTGGTAAATACCTCGATCACTTCACTTTTCTTATTGATCAGGTAAGTCCACAACTTTCTACTGAAATTATCTATGAATGTAACAAAGTATTTATTACCTCCCATCAAATCCACCTGGATTGGTCCACATACATCAAAGTATATGACTCCAAGAATAACCTTCGACCTGCTTCATGCATCCTTACTGAAGCTATTCTTGTGCTGCTTCGCCTGCACACATTCCTCACATACCTCATTTGAAATATCGATTTTTGGCAATCCTGAAACCATATTTCTTCTCTTTAAATCTTTGATGTCTCTGAAGTTGATATGGCCTAGTCGATAATGCGATATCCATTCATCTTTGCTAGCTGCAGTCGAAAGGCACTTGTGATCCATCACATTTAGTTCAATCTTGAAGGTTCTATTATGAGACATATTAGCCTTCAAGGTTAATATTCCATTTGCGTCGATGACTCTCATCATCTTATCTTTGATCGACACTTTATAATTCTTTTCGACCAACTGCCCTATACTGAGCAAATTGCTCTTCATGCCTGGTATGTACAACACATTTAAAATTACTGACCTCTTGCCATTTTTCATCATAATTATAACATCACCAATACCTTCAGCTGCTAGGGTATTGTCATTTGCGAATTTTACCATATTTTTCATTGAGGGCTTTATGTTGACAAACCAGTCTTTCCTTCCAGACATATGTGATGAGCATCCTGAATCCAAGTACCACTGATCCTTGAATCTATCTTCATCTCTTATTGTGACCATCAGCATCATCTCTTCTTCTTTATGTTTTGCAAACTTTGCACCACTTTCTTGATTCTTTCGCTTTTCTAGACAATCACTCGAATAGTGACCATACTTTTGACAATTGTAACATTGAATGTGACTCTTGTCAGGTTTTCGACCACCACCTCTTCCTCTATTTTCAACACCACCTCTTTGGTTGCCTTGGTATGGTCTTCTCTGATTCGACATGTTTCCTTCGTTCTGGTTTCCTCTACCAGAAATTTTTTTGTAGCCGCCTATACCTCTGTCTAACCACTTTCCTTTGCCTTTGGTTTCTTTTGCTGAATGTACCTACAAAGCCACATCACTCTTCGACTTGTCTGCAACTCTTTCAGTCATTATTTGTTCATGAGATTCAAGCGTTCCTTGAAGCTCTTCCTTTTTTAATTTCAACAAGTCTTTCCCCTCTTCTATAGCCACCACCACGTGGTCAAACTTAAGAGCCAAAGATCTCAAGATCTTCGAAACAACAACTTTTGTTGTTAATGTTTTTCCACATACCTTGATTTGATTAACTAGTTTTGTAACCCTAGTGAAGAAATCAGATATGCTCTCACTATCTTCCATCTGAAGCAATTCATAAGTTCTCTTATGAGTTTGTAACCTCACTTCTTTCACCTTTTTTGCACCATCAAAAGACTTCTCAAGAACCTCCCAGGCTTCTTTTGTAGATTCTAAATCACTCACTTTTTCAAAATTTTCTGGACTCAGACATTGATGAATTATAAAGAGTGCTTTTATAACTCAGCTTCTCAGATTTTGTGTGTTTCTTCTTTTCTTCTTTTGAATCGTTTTCTCCAAGCGCTTCCAATTCATCCTTTACAAGATCCCAAAGACCTCGACATCTGAATAAAACTTTCATTTGTTTGCACCAATTCTCATAGTTGTCTACTTTTAGAATTGGTAGAGTTGCTGGATAATTTACATTCCCATAACTCGCCATCGTGAATTATTCTTCTTCCTCAATCGTTCTTGATCGATACTTCCCTTGAGTTGATTAACTGAGCTCTGATACCAGATGTTAGAAATCAACCAAATATCTATGATGAATTTCTACCAATCTTGATGAACAAGATTGATATTACCACACAATGACAATGAATTATGAGAAAAGAAAAGAACATAAAGAAGACAATTATTTTCTGCAGAATTTCTCTCTGCCCACAAACTGTGGAAAACTTTATTAATCACTTGCAGCTGTAAATTCTGTGATTATAATGAATTGACTTAATTACAAAATTAGGGGTTACTCCCTCTATTTATAGATTTAGGTTAGCTTGCTCCCTAATCCAAAACCCAAAACTATAAAAGCCCAAAATACTTATTTTGGTACTAAATCAAGTCTATCTATTTTAGATCTAAATTAAATTTATCTAAATCTAAAACCAATCAAATCTGTGTGTAGCTTGCTTCGATCCACAAGCTCTTCGACTTGGCAACCTCCCTTCGACACACACACAGTTTCGACACAATCGAATTATAATTTAACAATATCATCAAGAAATGTGTACAAGCAAAAGAATTTTAACCCATCAACCTATTAGTCCTATAATTAGATTATAAAATCGACATAAAAACATATTAAGAATAAACTACGTTTGTTGTATGTTCATCGCTACCTCCAACTCAGTATAAATTAGATGGTTTACAACATTTTTGGCAAAATGAATTTGAAAAGAAAAAAAATATGTAACCAACAAATATTTTTTAAAAGGAAAAATGATATCTATAAATAAAAGGATAGGTACAATCACACTACAAAGAATAAAAGAGGTATAAGAAGTAACAATTTTGGAATCAGAACAAAAGAGAAAAACATAAATAACAACTGATTACAACAAAATAAATCACCAAAAAGAAAAAAAAACAAACAAAAACACATAACAAAATTAACATCAGGCAAAAGTAGGTTTCTTTAATCTGAGAAAACTTGAAAAGAGCAACAAAATCACAATAGACGAAACATAAATGTATTTAATGGAGGTTAAAGACGCTCACTCTTCTATTGGCTAAAAAACATGATAGGGTTCTCACGTCAGATGAGTTATCTACAAACCTACCAAAATACCATTTTCAAGCCATGAAGATGTGCATGTATGTTGGACATTAATGGACAATTAATTTTCATGGGTGTGTTCAAATATGACAAAGTTAAAGAGTATAAAAGTGCCCCATAAACAAAAGTGGAAATTGCCTTCAAGTCTGTCTGAAGGAAATCTTTGTCAGTTTTTACATTAAACATCTACTGGTGGAAGTTGCCTTTAAAATTGTCTTGGACTACTAAAAGTTTGAATTTCATATTAAAAATACACAAAACTTTAGGAAGTGGTGCATTGTATTATTATAGGTGAACCATTGCAAACATATGCTGGAAATGTGTTGTTTCATCAAGAGTTACAAACTTATGAAACAACACATGCATGACCTATAAATACATTATTCATAATCCAAAAATCATTCACTCAAAATATTACATCCTATTCGATAATCCAGACACACTTCCTTGCATTCGAGTTCTTCACCAGTCTTGTGCATACTCGATTGAAAGGCTGAATTATCACGATTCTAGCCTCGACCTATTTGATTTAAAATAATTTTATAACAATATTATAAGTATTTTGTATAATGTCAACTGATGCTTCCATTTTAAGCATTAAAAGATAAACTATTATGTCGATGACACATTCTGAATAGAAGAAAATATCTACATCGTGGATCTGGGTATGTTTTTGAATTAAAAGTATCTACCATATAAGAACTTCAATAGTTATGGAAAAGACACCACTGCCCTTGCTGCAACTACATTGTTCCACGTCTCCCTTATTAAAAAAGTATCTTATGCCAGCTTTTACCTACTACTTTTTTTCTGACTCGTCTTTATTTTTCAATTTCTCTCTCTTCGACATCTTTCTTCCTTCTTCGTTCTTCCTATTTTTCTTCTGTCTTGTACCTCTTCTTCTTCTTCTAATCTTCTTTGTTCTTCCTCTTTTTCTTCTGTCTTCTACCTCTTCTTCTACAATATCACTTTATGATTTCAAAAATAAATCTATATTTTCTATTAACAATATCGCTAACGAAGCCCTAGTCGAAGCAACAAAAAAAAAACAATCGAAATCTTCTACAGATGTCGGGTTGCTCTCGTCGCATTTGTGAACCGGCATCCACCATTTGGGGTCTGAATAATCCACACCCGCTGATTCAATGGTAAGTTTGATAGTTATGGAATTTTAGTTTTAGAATTTTCTTTCTTTTGGTATCTTTGTTGGAAAAATTCAATATTTTTTGGATTTTGAGTCATGGGTTTTCTTTGCTTTGTTATATTCATTGGAAAAAAATGTAATCTTTTTGGGTTTTGAAACTTTGGTTATTCGTAGGTTATTGCAGAGAGGCTGTCTGAGAAAGAAATTGGTGGTTTGAAAGTGTAGGTTCTGCACTATTTTTTCTGCAACATATCAGTTAAATTTGTGTTTCATATTCTGTTTCTTCCAACGAACTGGTTGTAAATAGAATTCACTATTTTTTCATTGATGTGTTGCTTCAGGTGCTATTCGACGAACTGGTTAGAAATTCCATGTATGTGTGGAGGATTGCAAATTGACAGCGAACATAGCTGGGCAGATGTGGTCAAATGGAGTGATGAGCTTGGGTGTAGACAATTAACCTCGGAGATGCATTTGCGTGTAGATGATTATTTCCCGTTGAAGTGGCTAGACATTAAGATATTTGAACGGTGATGAGGTAATTTTCAATGTCGGCGGCTGAACTGATGCACTGGGTCCTTACCGGCTCAAACACGTTTTCTTAATATTCATTATTTATTCAATGTATACCTTTTTCTAGCTGAGAACAGAGGTGAATAAAGTGTTGAAGGTAACTCGAACTGGAAAATTAATTCGTGTAAGTTTAGATACTAAGGTTCACATTCAATGTATACTTTTTGTTGCACTTATCGACTCTTTGTTGTAAATATCGTTGAATAAACCCAACTTTTATGTATATACGTTTAATTTATGTTTATTTGTGTTTTTGTGTATATAGTGTACTGTTTGATGTTTTTTCATTTATTTTGTAAGTATTTGTTGCATTTTGAAGCATCGAGAAATAAAGTGTCTAAGGCACGACTCCGGATGCGTGTTTTCAAAATAAAAGACCAATTTTGGAAAGTCATGTCCAAGAGAGTCCACTTAGCGCATAGAAGGCTGCTAAGCACAAGTGCGCTCAGCGTATTTTGTATCGTGCTGCTTGCGTTTTAACATTTTAACAGGTGACACTTTGGCAGGATACAACGACAAACATGCCTTAATCCATACATATGCTTTTGTGGAATCGATTATTCTGTCTGGTTTTGCTTCGAGTTGGATTACATTGTATGTGAATGCTTTTATGGTTGAGAAATTGAAGGAACACGATAGGGTGATAATGAGGAATAGAAGTCGGAAGATGGAGTGATAGAAGTAGTGAAGGTAGTGGGGTGTGTGTTGTAACGGTTTATGATTGGGGATGGTATTTATAGAATTATAGCTATAATAAGGATTTGAATATTGGGTTACTTACTACAAAGTGAATAGTTTATGTTAGTTTCTTCATTTTATGTAGCAAATATTTGTAACAACTCGCTGTACTTTTTAAAATTAATTATTTTAAAATTTCCATTAAGAATGTATTCAATTAATTTTTTTTCAATAATTATTAAAAATTCTGATATTACAGCGTATCACATCAATATTTGTAAAAACGCACAGATAATCATATCAAAATTCGTGTGAACGCATATGTTATTACTTTTTTATATAATTATAGAAAATGAAAGTAAAAATAATGTATTAATTCAAACACGAGAAAAATGTGTTATTTTTTTAATTATTTATGCATATAATATTTTTATTTTGAAAATATTTTTAATTTAAGATAAATAAAGTGTAAGGATAATGTATGAAAAATTGAAATATATATTATTAATGAAATAATTTTGGTAAAATAAATTATTTATTTATTTTAAGAATATGTCTTTTTTTTAAATAATAAACTATTTTAGCATATCAATTTTATATTGATTATTTTTTAATTTTATTATATTTTGAAAACAAAGGTGTGTGTACCACACCAGTACCTGTGCGAACGCACGGATAAAACATCAGTATCATGTGAATGTACAAATAATCATATCAAAATCAACACGAACGCACAAGTTTAATATATGAAAAAATAAAATATATATTATTGATTTTAAAACAATTTTGGTAAAATAATTTTATTTTTCTTTTAAAAATAATATTTTTTTATAAAATAATTTTATTTTTAGTACATTTTAAAATATTTTATTATTGATTAAAATATTTTATATACGGAAGAAAATATTGAAAACAATTTATTATCTCTTTTAAAAATAATAAACTATTTTTGTTAGGTAATTTTGTCTTTTTTACATTTTATTTTTCTTATTATTTTATTACATTTTGAAAACAAAAGCGTGCATATCACACCAGTATCTGTGTGAACACACTGTTAATGCATGAGACACTTTAATGAGGAGAGAAAGAGGGAATAGTAAATGAAATGAGAATTTATATTATTGAATTGTACAAATAATGATACAGACTATGACTATTTATATACAACCGTAATTGGGCTCGAGTCTACACAACTTGGATTATATTTAAATATTAAATCTAATCTAATCTAATCTAATATTTTAACAAATCTAATTTAATATTTCAACACACCCTCATAATCCAAATTATCGAGCATCCTCAAAAATAGTCAATCTGAACTATTTCTAATTTCTTTCTCAAATTTAGAAATTTGTCAATCTTCAGTCCTTTGGTGAAAATACCGGCCAACTGTGCTTCACTCGAGCAATGCCTTACTTCAAGTTCACCTCGTTTTACCTTTTCCCTCAAGAAGTGAAACCTTGCTTCAATATGTTTACTTCTTCCATGCAGAACTGAATTCTTCGCCAGATTTATGGCTGACTTATTATCGATTTGCAATACAAGAGGTTTCTTCACTTCGACCTTCATTTCTTCAAGTACAGGTCTGATCCAAATTTCTTGACATGCATCATAGAATCCTGCTATATATTCAGCTTCACAATATGATAATGCCACCATAGGTTGTTTCTTCGAACACCATGAGATTGGGGCATCAAATACTTGAAAGAAATATCCAGTTGTGCTTCTTCGATCTTCCTTATCTCCACACCAATCAACATCTAAAAAATAATTAACTATTGCTTCGTTGTCTTCAGAGTCTCGTCGAAATAGTATTTCACAGTTTATCGAACCCTTCAAATATCTCAGGATACTTCTTACAGCCTTCATATGTGACACTCTTGGTTTACTCATATATTTGCTTACTAATCCTAAAGCGAAACCTATATCAAGTCGAGTGTTGCACACATACCTCAGAGATCCCACAATTTGCTTGAACAATGTTACATCGATTTTGTCTTCCTCTACATTCTTCTCCAATTTTACATTTGGTTCGACAGGTGAGGATGCAGGATTCGAATCATCGATTCTGAATCTCTTGAGTATTTCTTTGACATACTTCCTTTGATGTAGCATCATACCTTGCTTAGAAATTTGAATTTCCATACTTGAACGTAGACACCATACTCAGATTTGCATTTGACAAATCCCAATTCGACTAAGTATGAGTCGATCTGCTTGTTCTATGCCATAGGTGCCTGCTTAAGGCTATAGAGCGTTTTGTGCAACTTATATACTTTACTCGCTTCCTTCTGAATCAAAAACCCTGAAGGTTATGTTACATAGACCTCTTCGTCTAAAGGACCATTTAGAAATGCCGATTTCACATCTAAATGAAATGTCAACCAGCCTTGGTTGCATGCCAATGCTACCACTAGTCGAACAGTCTCTAATCTTGCTACTGGAGAAAATACTTCATAGTAGTCGAGTCCTTCTCTTTGAAGAAACCCACGAGCTATTAACCTTTCTTTATGTCTTTCTATCGAGCCATCAACATTATGTTTTAACTTGAATACCCACTTTACTTCTATAGCTTTTGTATGTGCTGGAAATTCGAATAACTCCCATGTGTTGTTTCTTTCGATTGCCTGTAACTCTTCGCCACCTTCATTTGTTCGCAAAACTTTTATCTTCTTCTCACTCTGGTTTTTGACAAGTATCTTAAATATGTTAAATATTTCGAATACTTTGTCCTTTCGTTTTATCACATAGATCCACAGCTTTCGACTAAACTCATCGACAAATGAAAAAAATATTTGTTTCTACCAATTGTAAGTTCTTCAAATGGACCACATACATCTGAGTGTACCACTTCAAGTATGCAAGATGATCTCATTGACATAGTCGAAACGAAAGAATTTCTAGATTGCTTTTCTACTAAACAACCTTCACAAAGTTTTTCAGACATCTCAAGACTTAGAATTCCAGTAACCATATCTTGAGTAATCAGTTGATTGAGTGATCAAAAATTCAAATGTCCAAACCTCAAATGCCACAACCAACTATCCTTGTGGTCAACAACTATTTTCAAACATTGAGCTTCAGTCGAACTGATCATAGTCTTAAATGTCATGTTCTTCGACAACGGAGATTTTAAGACCAAATTGTTCTTGGTGTCGAACAATTTCAAAACTCCATCTTTCATGACAACTGAGAAACCTTTTTCGACTAGTTGTCCAACACTTAGCAAGTTGCACTTTATTCCAGGTACATAAAGTACATATTTGATCATAGCTTTCCCTCCATTACTCATTTGAAAGACTATATTTCCAGTACCTTCTACTTGCAACAAACTATTATCAGTAAGTTTTACCTTGCTCTTTTTCGACTTGTCAAAATCTGCCAACCACTCCTTTCGACCAGTCATGTGGTTCGAGCAGCCTGAGTCGAGAAACCAGATTTTGATTTGACATGGTTATCTGTAACCGCAACCATAACCACCATAGCACCTTCAGAATCATATAAATCTTGGCGTGTAAGGTTCGCTTCTTCGTCCTTGCTTGTCGATCCCTTGTCTTTTCTGTACCAACATTTCTTGGCTACGTGACCCCACTTTTCACAGTTATAGCACTGCACACATTTTTTTATCTTCTTTTCCATTTCGATAGTTTCCTCCTCCTCCTTTCGAGGATTTAGAAGCTCTATCTTTGACCTGATGTTTGTGAGGTTTCGACCAAGACTTCTTGCCCTGAGTCTTGTCGAACTTGCCTTTGAATTTTTTGGAACCACCATCCTTTTTCCATGACTGGGCTTACTGTATCGAGTCTTGAACTCATTTCCTTTCGAAAATCCTCATCTCATGTGCCTCCAACGAACCAACCAAATCTTTCACTTTAGTGGTTTCAAAGATTGTTGGATTCTTGAATAGCTACGATAACGTGATCAAAGTTAGAGGTCAACATTCTCATCACCTTCTCAACTATCATCTTACCAGTTATGGTTTCACCATAACCCTTCATGAGATGGACGAGTTTTTGAACCTTCGACACATATTCTGCAACTTTTTCATCTTCTCCTATCGATAACAAATCATATTGTCGACGCAAGGTTTGTAACTTGACAACCTTGACTTTCTCACCTCCTTTATAATACTTCACCAGAATATCTTGTGCCTCCTTCGCCGTTTCAACATGAGAGATTCTTTCAAAATTAACAGCATTGACCATCGTCTGAATGCAATAAGCAGCCTTGCAATCTTTCTTCTTGACTTCGTTGTGGGATTTTTTTATGTTTGTCGGTTGCATTTGTAGACAACGCACGAACGTCGTCGGGAATCACTTCTAGGGTTTCATGGAAGCCAAACAAGGATTGCATCTGTTTTTTCTATCAGATTCAATTCTTGCCGTCAAGCATTGGAAGAGAATTCAAAATACCATTATCACTAGCCATCTTCGCAGCGGTTGATTCACTTGCCCTAGAAACACGATCTCTGACGTAAATTTTTTGAAAACTCGATCAAGAATAATAACCGGAAGCTCTAGATACAAATTTGTTAGTGCGTGAGACACTTTAGTGAGGAGAGAAAGAGGGAATAATAAAAAAATAAGGATTTATATTATTGAATTGTACAAATAATAATACAAACTAGGACTATTTATATACAACTTTAATTGGACTTGGGTCTATACAACTTGAATTATACTTAAATATTAAAGCTAATTAAATCTAATCTAATCTAATATTTTAATAAATTTAATTTAATATTTCAACACGTACGAGTATCCCATTAAATTTATTTAAGAAATAATTTATAATTAATGAATTTTAATTGTTTTAAATTATATATCGAAACTAAATTGATATTGATTTTAACTAATTCTCAATTGTAGTTCAAAGATATTTTTGAGTAAAAATAATTTATATTTATTAAAATAGTTTAACAGTAATATTATTTAATTAATTTAATATAATAAAAAAATTTACAATTATTGAATTTATAATTTTACAATTATTGAATTT